AAAAAAAAAAAAAAAAAAAAAAAAAAAATCTATTTGGCCCCGCCCCCCTTGCTCTTTTGAGGTATAGCAACCTAAGAGTTTCAGCCAATCCCCGCAAGCTAAACCCATGCAGAGGCGGTCTCACACAGCGGTTTAGCCAATGCCAATGCTGATTCAGGGCTCCAGCACATGGGTCCGAAGCTTGCCTCCGACTCAGCCAGAGTGTAACTTCTCAGCCATGGGAGAAGGTTGAGCCTGAAGTTCTCAGAGCCCGAGCGGTGCGTTATGGATGGCAGCAGGTGAGTGAGGAAGTGACAGCCAGGCCGCGGGGGTGAGGGTCCTGCCTGGCGGCTGGACTTGGGGAGGTCAGCCAGAGGGCTGAGGGCTCGCGTGGGAGGCGGCGGGGAAGGCGCGGGGCCACCCTGGAGCTTCAGGAAGACAGCCTGATGCAGAGACCTGTCGGCTGGACCTTCTTAGAACCTGGTCATCGCTGAAAGGAGCAAAAACAACCGAAATGTCTGAGTTACCTCCTAGGAAGCATCCAAACAGGTCATACAGGGCTGTCTTCAGTACATCGATATCTGTTGAAAATATCCTTAAGATGTATATATTACATTCTAACTTATTTTGTGTGTGGGGGTGTAGGTTAGAGGACCTGAGCTGCAGGGGCTCCCCAGGAATGGTCATCTGTATGTAGGTAAAGGCCTACAGGTATTAAACTTTACACCTTTCTGGAAGACTTTTGCCGTATTTTATTTTTTAAAGTGTGAATTGCTTTGTAAAAGCTTCATGGGGAGATTAGGGAGCCTGCGCCCTTCTTCAGCACCACAACCTCTCCCCACTTCTGCACACACCTGCGGCCCTGAGATGTCATTTGGTTCCTGACTTTTTCGACATGGTGTCTGAGCTTTTCTTTAGACCCTTCATTACCGTGAAGGTCTAGAGACTTGCACACAGCAGGCTCAATACCAGAATACCCAGAGCTCTCTGGCTTTCCCAGACATGGCATATGGTCTAGGCTGGTAGACCAAACTTTGTTTTGTGTGGGGCTGGGGGTGAGGTTCTGTAGTCCATGACATCTGTATGTAAAGGCCCACTGATACTAAATTTGACACCTTTATTGAAGACTCATGCTGTGTTTTTTTTTTAATTTTTTAATATTAGTTACAGTTTATTAACTTTGTATCCCAGCTGTATCCTACTCACTCATTTCCTCCCAACACCCCCTCCCCATTTCATCCCTCCCTCATGTGCTCCCTGCCGTTTTCCAAGTTCACTGATAGGGGAAGTCCTCCTCCTTTTCCATTTGACCCTAGCTTATCAATGTCATCAAGGGCTGGCTTCAAAGTCCACCTCTATGACCTAGCAGAGCTGCTCCTCCCTCGGGAGGGGGGAGGGGCCCAAGAGCCAGCTATTTAGTTCATGTCAGAAATAGTCCCTGTTCCCCTACTAGGGTACCCATCTGGATACTGAGCTAGCATTGGCTACATCTGAGCAGGGGTTCTATGTTATGTCCATACATGGTCCTTGGTTGGAAATATAGTCTCAGAAAAGACCCCTGTGCCCAGATCTATTTGGTCCTTGTGAAGTTCTTGTCCTTTCCAGGTCATACTAACTCCCCCTTCTTTCATATGATTCTCTGTACTGTGCCAAATGTTTGGTTATGAGTCTCAGCCACTGCTTTGATACTCTGCTAGGTAGAGTCTTTTTGAGGCTGTTTTTTTTTTTTTGTTTTTGTTTTTGTTTTTAATTGTAAAGTGTGAATTGCTCCTAAGCAGTTAATCCTTTATCCTTTTTTTTTTTTTTTGGTCAGTTGGTTGGGTGGTTGGTTTGGTTTTCAAAGCAAAGTTTCTCTTCACAGGCCTGGCTCTCCTAGGACTTGCTCTGTAGACCAGGCTGGCCTTTGTCATTCTCTGTTTGGCAGGGTTCTAGATTTTCGCCAGGGACCTAGAACTCAGATTCTAGACGGAGAACTTGGGTTCCCTTTCTTCCGGGCAGATAGCATGAGACCCATGTGCTCGGCCAGGGTGTGGAGAAGCTCTTTTAGAATGACATAGCCAGTGCCAATGGAAGCTCGGGCATTCCAAAGCCTATGGGTGATAACTAAGTCTTACAGCTCTTGGTTGAGCTGCTGTGCTGAGCAGGGCAGAGGTGTGGGTGGAAGCCCTTGCCTGGTCAGCTTGCAGCTGAGACATGGGCCCAGCAGGCTGGAGGGCAGGCCCGGTGAGACTGGGCAGCGGGGGATAAAATATGAGTCTCCAGTAGTTATGGCACAAGGCTGATGGTATGAGGAAGCCAGTCAGCACGTTTATTTGAAATCAGGGATTTATAAACCTTGGGCAGTGGGAGGGAATCAGATCAGAGATACTTAATTTACATGCAATGAATGGAACAGTACCTCATTTTCCATGCAGGAGGATGGTCCTGTCATCAGAAGGATCACAGTACTTAATTATCCTACAGTGAGGGGGAAATCTCCAAGTACAGTTGAAGGTCACTGCCTAAGAGTAAGAGCTCCTTAGCAGGGTGCAGCATCTCTAGGAATTACTAGGTGCTGCTGGATCTGGTTTCCTTCTCAGGAAAGGGTCTGGCTTGTAATCTGCCCGGAGACCTATGTGATGCTTCTTACAAGACCTGGGTCACCCATATTGGGAGAATGGTGGGTTTTTAGGGCTTCACTGAGAAAAAGGAGTCCACAGTCATAGACTGACAGCAAATAAATGTCTATCCAGAGATGTCAGACTTCAAACTAATCCAGCAAAGGCTCCCAAGCCTTCAATTCAGAGGTCCACCTGCCTCTGCCTCTCAGTGCTGGGATTAAAGGTGTACCACAGAGTAATGCTCAGTTGTGGCTTATCTTTCAGTACTTAGGGAATACTATGAAAGACATGAACTTTATTGTTTGTTTGTTTGTAAACAGGGTCTCTATGTAGCCCTGACTGGTTTGAAGATCCCTTGTAGACCAGGCAGTCCTTGAACTCAGAGATCATCCTGCCTCTAGCTTTCCAGAGCTGGGATCTAAGGCTTGAGCTACCTACCACCCTTGGAAGACAGAGAAATTTTTTTAAGTTGACAAAAAGAGACAGATGAAAAGTTTTAGACACATAAGCAAGACCATTGTCTGCTTTAATCTGTTTGGGGATTGTCATTAGTTAGAAAGTGTCAAAATAAACTGATTTTACTGTGTTAACTCTTTATGTGTATTTGCATCTTGCCTGAGTGTATGAGGATTTCTGACCTGGAATTACAGACAGTTATGAGTTACCATAACTGAACCTGTCTCCTTTGGAAGAATAGCCAGTGTGTTCTTAATCATTGAACCATCTCGATCCAGGCCCATGTGGTCAGAGTAAACGACCAAAAGAGATTTAATTTTTTTGAGACTGTGTCTGTGGTAGTTTTGTTTTTGTAAAGCTTTAGTATTTAGTACTTTTAACAATTTCCAAGAATAGATTAATAACTTAGAAATCCACTGATGTAAATAGAGCCTTAATTTCATTGCATTAAACTTTGCACTTTGAAACTTACTATCATGTGTATATTTTGTCTCTAAGTCTTATCATTCACATACCTTTAATCATTTACTCAGACCCTCACAGCTTGCATGAACTTTCTCCCTTTACTTTCCATTTGGAAACATCCAACCATTTTAACCTTTGCACACAGATACTTCAATACTAAAATTCTTTGCATTGTTACATCCATTGAACATTTTATTTTTTCTTTGCTGTTTTTCCATAATCCCATGAGATGTATGTGGTTGGTCATTGAGAGTAGTCATTGAAGAGGCAAATCTGTCTGTCAGTGGACTCGAGTTATTTTTACACCAGGGATATTTATTTATTTATTTATTTATTTATTTATTTATATACTTTCTGTCCTTTGTCTGTGAACCCCTTGAGAGGCTCCACTGATCTGTTTATGGACAGCAGTAATTGAGCCTCACATTTGAAGTTTTCTCGTTTAATAGACTCAGTTAATGAAAATTTCCTTTAAAGCTCTCCAATGTGAGTAATCATCAAGTATCATGCCCACCTGTGTATCCAAAGGTATTGCAAAGACAGAGTGTTTTTAAGGTGAAAGCAATTTATCTATTTATTTTTAGCTATGAATGGACTGATCAGAGAGCCTTGGGGAGGAGCAGATGGAGACCTGCTTGGTGCTGTTGCAGCAGGAAGTGCCAGGACCTCTGAATTCTGAAGAAAATAGGGCCTAGAAGAGGGAGGCCAGACAGGGATTGTGTGTGCATGCTGTGCCCAAAGATGAACATTGACAAGATTGAATAGAAAAGTCCTTTTTGTTTATTTATTTATTTTTTAAGACAGGGTATCTCTGTGTAGCCCAGTCCTGGAACTCACTCTGTAGATAATGGTGACCTGGAACTCAGAGATCCTCCTGACTCTGCTTCCTCAATGCTGGGGTCAAAGGCTTGTACCACCACCACCCAGCAGACCCCCCTGCTTATGTAAAGTTCTCACTGTTGTGCATGCAAATGAGCAGTAAAATCCAGGGCTGGGTTTTTTAAGTCTCTGAAGAGTTTTCCTCCTCTCACTTAGTGTTTTCCCTTTGGAGTGGGAATAGGATGGTTGATTTACCCGCCACTGTTGTGTACCTTATTACTGATCCAACCTAGAACTTGTTGAGTTCATCAGCAGAGAATTTGCTAGTAGAGACAAAGCCTATCAGGCCTACCTTTTAAGCTGCCTGGCTTTTGTCTAAGATCAGGAGGGTAAGAAGCTGGCCATCTTGGAAATTTGCCACATTTATATCCAAGCCACAGGAGTCTGTCTGACTCCTAGTCTCTCAGCAGTACCATGGGACAAGAAGCAGGACAGACACAGGTTCCAGGACTGCCTGCTTTTACAGTAAAGCAAGCTACAGGATGGCTGTGGCCTCCCATCTTCTCAAAAGCAAATCCCCAGGCAAGCCTAAATGTTTATCTGTACCAGGTTGGAAACACAGGTTTTCTTTCTCTTCATTTCTTAGGCTAAATTAATTTTTTTTTCTATTTTGGATATGTATGTATATACATACATATCTATTTATATATTGTTACTTATGTCAGGGTTTGGGGTTTTTGAGATAGGATCTCACTGTGTAGTTCTGGCTGGCCTGGAGCTCACTGTGTAGACCAGACTAGCTTCAGACTCACAGAGATCTGCCTGCCTCTGCCTAGTTAATGCCTAGAATTAAGAGTGTACATTACTCTGCCTATTTTTTTACGTTTTATTTTATGAATATTAATGTTTGCCTGCATATGTGTCCATATATCTCATGCATACAGTATACACAGAGACCAGAAGGGAACGTTAGATCTCCTGGGATTAAAGTTACCAATCTGGTGAGCCACCACGTAAGTGCTGGCACCAAAGCTGGGAACAATGCAAGAGTGGCCAGTGTTCCCAGCTGCTGACCAGTGCCCCTACGCTGAGTTTCTCGGTTGACTCATTGATGAAAAGAAATGACAAGTTCTTGTATCTGAAAAAACTACCTTTTTTAAAGTGCATCTCACAAGCACCATTCTTCCTCCTCCTGTGTGTCTCTTAGTAATTAGTGTTCTTGATATATATATATGTGTGTGTGTGTGTGTGTGTGTGTGTGTGTGTGTGTATGCATACATATTATTGACTACACTTAGGAAAGTGAATAGGTAGGTATTGATGACAATTGTCTTGAACTGAAAATCCTTCTGAAAAAAAAGGCACAATAGATTTCAGATGCAAATGAGCAAAGCATTTTAGTTTGGGAGGGACAGCTGGAGGACTAGGTAGATTGGGGTCCCCAGTGGCTGTAATTACCCCCTGACTATTCTATTCCCTCCTAGGCTGAAGCTCCTGGCACACCCTGATTTGTACCCTGCTGCTCAGGAAGATGTATGTGGCAGCTCTCCAAAAACCGCTGCTTGGGTATCTCTTCACCCTCATAGTCCTGCAGCTGCCCAAGATGAATGCAGGTAAGGCCCCCTTCTCTCCTCCCACCCATTTCCACTGACTGCTGGGTTAACGTGTCTCTGCCAACGCAAAGGGTCGCAGTGCCACTTCCCACCTATCCTCACAGGACCCAGGTGGACCATGAGACAAGGAATAGAAGTAGTTTGAGGGGGTTTGCTTTTGGCTTCCTGTCAGTATGATGTTCCTATCTCCATTTCTATCTGATGCTGCTTGGCTTTCTGCAGGTCACTTTGAAGTCCTTGGACCCCTGGAGCCCATCTTGGCCTCAGTGGGTGAAGATGCACTGCTCCCTTGTCACCTCTCACCCAGTGTGAGTGCCGAGCACATGGAGCTGCGCTGGTTCCGGAATACATTCTCGCCTGGGGTGATGGTGTACCGTGAAGGCCAGGAGCTGCAGGAAGAGCAGATGATCGAGTATCAAGGGCGGGTGACTCTAGTGCAGGACAACATCACTTTGGGGCACGTTGCTCTGAAGATACACCACATCAGAGCGTTTGATGAAGGGGTGTATGGGTGCTTCTTCAGGGATAAACAAGACCAAGGAGAAGCCTTCCTCATTCTGAATGTAGCTGGTGAGTGGACAGGATTTGACATTAGTGATATGTATGGATATGGTTTTAAGCTGTTAGCATAACAATTAGAAGGCTTAAAAGCTGCTTTAAAAAAAAAATGCAATCTAATGCTGTGGTTTCTGCCCTTGAACTCCTGATCCCCCTGGCTCCACATCCCAGGTGATGGGCTAACAGACATGTGTCACCACTTCTAAATTCAAACATGTTTCTGGTAAAATCTAGTCCTCAGCCCATGACAGTGGATCCTTTCAGCATCAGCTTATGTAGTCATGGG